GTAATGATAATAATAATAATAATAATAATAATAATAAATAATAATAATAATAATAATAATAATAATAATAATAATAATAACGGTAATAACAGTAATTAAGAGTAATGATAATAATTATTGTCATTAATAATAACAATAATTAATAATAATAATAATAATAACAATTGGTAGTGATAACAACAACAATTGATAGTAATGATAATTAATAACTAATAATAATAGTAATAGTGATAACAATGATGATAATGATAGCAATGATAACAGTGATAATTTTCTTTTTAAATTTTTTTTTCAGTCTCACAAATTATTAGTAATTTGGACAAAATTTAAACCAATCTAGCATCAATAATTAAAATAAAGATTGAATGAAATGAAGAAGTTCAGATTGGTGGAAATAATCAATCCAAACGAGTATTCTGGATTGATGGAGGTATTCATGCACGTGAATGGGCTGCACCACATACAGCCTTATATTTCATTCATCAGTTAACATCAAAATATGGATATAATAAACAAATTACGAAATATGTTGATGAATTGACCTGGGTCATAGTACCATGCCTAAATCCGGATGGATATGAATTTACACGATCCTCAACTGATCCAAATGTTAGTAACAATCTTAAAATGTGAATAAATAATAATTCGACTTTTTTTTTGTTGACAGTTTGTTTGTTAATTTATGTCATATAAAATCAATTAAATAGATGAAATGAATTCAATTCGACTCTTCATTGCTTCAATCAATTTGAATAACATGAAAAACGATAGCAGTCATTTCATGACAAAATGATCCAACATATAACATCGCATCGTATTTTATATGTCAAACATATATGTTCTTCAAATATAGGAAATCGCATGCATAATGACGGATAGATTACTTGATTACTGCTGATGCTACGTACGTTTGTTTCACGTGCATAGAAAGTGAACGAATCGCAATTGCGTAAAACATTGAAATATGAAAAGACTCTTTGTTTCAGATTCGATTATGGCGTAAAAATCGTTCGTCAGTTCTGTGTGCGAAGGATCCGTGGGGACGTAATCGTTGTTGTCGTGGTGTCGATTTAAATCGAAATTTCGACTTTCATTTCAAAGGTAAATCAAGTTTTCAAAATTTCTAGAATTTAAAATATTTGTCTTAATGATTTCTTCTTGAAAGATGAAGGTTCTGAAGGAATTTAATGGTTGTGAAATTCCATCTTAAATTTTAAATTTTAAAATGCCACATCAATTTTCTTTGTTAATTAATTTATTTCATGTAATGCGTGAAGAAAACATATTGCCATTAAAATAATAACATTATGACGTCCTTGCAGTTGAAATTGAAATCTATTCATTGCAAAATTTAAATTTTAAATTTTACAAATTCTAGAAAGCGGTTCAAGCGATGATCCATGCGCCGAAATTTATCAAGGCAAGGAACCTTTCAGTGAACCAGAAGCAAGGTTTGCTTATTATTTTTATCAGTGCGTTCATCTTTTATCTTTTCTTTTATATTATCGTTGAATTAACTTAAACGTTCTTTAAATGATTAAAATTTGATGTCGAAATGCTTTCATTGATATTTAAAATTGTTTTTTTTCTGTCCCACAAATTTTAACTCATTGACTTTTTTTTTATAGCATATATGTTTGCATTTAAACAACTATTTTACAAACCTTTGTTTTATTATTGTTTCAAGTTGCAAAAAACGAAAATAAAATGAAGTGTTAATGCACCAAATTTTAAATTGCCATATGAAATCATTTATAATAATCATCTGTCACAATTTATCTTTTTAAGAAATTCGAAAGGAAAAATTTAATTCAAAAATTTCTTTCCATCAATTTAATTTCACCTTCATTTACACCTGTTTCTCCTGTATATATATGAAATTTCCGCTACTCCCTCCCATTATCATTTTTCAATCTCATTTTGATTATCGTTTACGAATATTTATCAGTGATTAATTAATGATAGCCAAATATTATCTTTAAGGGCAGTACGTGATGCTGTAACGTCAAATCGTTACCGTGGTCGTATTGATGCTTTTATAACGTTGCATACTTATTCACAACTTTGGATTCATCCATATGGTCATCGTAAGGATACGTATCCTGGTGATATACAGGATTTGGTTAGCCTTGCTAATTTTTAAATTTTCGAATTCCATGCAAACAAACAAATTTGTTAGGTTGTATTAATTAATAGCAAAAGATACTTTCAAAAAAAAAGAAAAAAGGAGAGGAGACAAGAACTTCACCTTCATTTTCCCAACACGGTCAGTGATATTTTAATAATATATTACCTAATAATTTTGTTATTGAAGTATGAAGTTGGCAAGAATGCAACAAATGCGCTTAGTAAACTTTATGGTACAAAATATGTTGTTGGTAGTGGTGCTGATACATTATGTTAGTTTATCTCTTCCTCTTCCTCAGGATACTTTCATTTCTAATAAAATTTATCACTTCTATCTTCATTTCATCACTTTTGAAATAACTTTAAAACTTTGTTAATTAACCAGTATTATGATTATAAAAGTGAAATTTTCAACTCTTTTATTTAAGAACAATAAAATTATCAACATTTTATTGCCTAAAAAATAAATCCATATACACAAACATATGTATAATTAGATCCGGCATCTGGTGGTTCCGAAGATTGGGCGAAACAAACAGCAGGCATAAAATATGTATACTTGTTGGAATTACGACCCGATGAAAAAAGTATGTCTTGGCTTTACTAACTATCAATATCATATCATTGATCACATAATATTTTACTAACTATTTAGTATTACTATAATTGTTAAACAATTAATTATTCGACATTTCATCACTTTATATTAAATTAGCCTATTACGGACTATGTGATAAGTAGTGGAAGCAATGTGTATTCCTTACATATCGATTGGTAAGAGTAACAGGGAAATTTTCTAAGAATTATCACTGATAAGATTTCATTTTAAAGATTGGGATGGATTTATTCTGGATGAACGACAACTGATACCAACAGCAACTGAAACTTGGGCTGGTATACGGGTAGTTGCTGATGCGGTAATCGAACGAGCATATCGAAAAAATGCCAGAATTAATGGTACTAAAAAACTTACCTGAAATCCCCCATTATTATGTTAGACATGGATAATGAAATGATTGATTATATACATGATAGTGTTTTATGTTTGATTATGCATTATCATTTTCTGAATTTGAAAGTCCTAGATAAAAAATTTATTTCGTTTTGAAGGAAAATGAAAAAAAAAAAATCCTGCATAAAGTCTTGAAGAGTGTCCTTCTGAGAAAAAGGAAAGCGAAAGAGAAAAGGAAGAATGAAAGTTGAATTTAATCATTTCATAAATATCAGTTGACCTCTTTAAAAAGAAAAATTACTACCTCCATCATTAATTATTATAAAGGATACTACAGGTAAAGCTATGAATTACTTCAAAATCAACTGTACCTAAACCTTACATTTCTTTTTCTTTTCATTCTTATCACTTAATACATAAAAACATTTTTATCATTTTCACTTATTCAACACATTAAAATTAATCGAAAGAATTAAAAATTTTATTATGAATTGTAAAGAAAAAAAAGATTACAAAAGTATAAACAAATTATAGCACTATTAGTTTTATTTTGTATTTCTTTTTTATGAATTAATTCTATTATATTTCGAATATTATTTACCTGTTTTGATGTTGCAGCCATTTATTGTGCTACATTTAACATCGTTTTTATCAAGAAAAAAAAAAAAAAAACCAAAATGTTTTCCAAACAACATGCGCAATATTGTTCGATACATTGCATTCGTTTGCTCCTCTTCTCGAAGCTATCCGAAAGAAAAAGATGCATAATTACATCCTTTCCTATGATAAATGATAAGCATAAATAAGCAAAAATAAGTGTAAATGAAATTTCTCGCTCAACATCAATATTTAGCTTAACTTTTAATTCAACTTTTGCCTTGCCTCTCCTTTGTTCGCATTTCGCTAGAAGCCTTTGAATTTCATTTAAAAAAATAAAATGGGAAGGGAAATTTTTTTGGGTGATGAGATTTACTTTAACAAACTTTGCTTGAGAAGCGCAGGAAAAAAAGAAAATGAAACGAATTATTCAAAAATGAAAGGAAATTTTGCAGTAATCGACTAAAAATAAAGTTTTTATCAGAAATATTTCATTTTTATCATTGTTGTTTCTTATTTTAATACTAACTACCTATGACCTAATTTTTCTACATATTTCTTTCTTTTATTACACATAATTATATCCTCTCCTATAGCAAATGATAAGCGTAGATAAGTTTCTCTCTATTTAGTTATTCAGTGCTACTTAGCATAACTTTCAATTCAACTTTTGCTTTCCTTTTTTTCTGCATTTTGCCAGTTTTTTTTATTTTTTAAATTCTGTTGAAAAAAGTTCTTGCTTTTTTAGGTACTATAAGGCAGCAATATCGCTTTGGAAATGGCAGTACTGGCTCATGTTATGATTTACGTCATGCATGTAAACGATGGGTCCGAGAAAAAGAATCAATCTGTCAAACGGTACCAATTTTCATGCGAGAGCAATGCGCCTATTCATGTGGTCACTGCTGATAAACAACTAAATTGGGTTAATGAGCTCTTCCCAGTATTAAAATAAATAATTGTGCTTTTGGTAAGACGGAATAGTGTAAAATGAAATGGAGTGAAAAACTGAAGTAATTTCTTAAGACATCATCAAAATTATCATTATGTTACTGTATACCATCAAAAATTATCACAATTAATAAATCAACATTAAAACGAAATAATTTTATAAAATGATCGTTTTTCATATTCTAAATTAAACTAATATCCTCCAAATAATTCTTTAAAAGGTTGGAAATAATCAGAGTGACACACATAAAGTTACACTTATAGAGTAGATCTAATTCCGCAATTAGACCTCTGCACACCAAACTATAGGTTACAGAATTTTATACAATATGTGATTTGATTTAAAAGTTTCAACAACGGAAGGTCAATTAAAGAATACCTTAATAAAGGAATTGGATTAACCAATTTTCGAGCTTTCCTTTCATTGATAATATTAAATATTAACGATCACACAAGTCTTTAACAGTAAGGGGTTCCATCAATTTTGGATCTACTGAACGATGTACTGCTGATGAAACAATTTCATCGGTTAGCGAAAGCGCAATTTGTTCATCCGACAAATAGCGCCATAAATTTTGTCGTAAAAAGCAACAGTCCACCTGTTAATTGTTCAAATTTCAATTTTAAATGTAAAATCTTTGAATTTAAAGAGTGATCCAAATTCAAAATTATTTTTCTGTGGTACTATGCGGTCATCCTAAATTATCCAACATTAAAAATACAAGTGCAAAAATATTTTCATACTAATTATGCTTCACAACAAGGAATAAAGAGGCGAGTTTTCGGAAAGTTAATAAAACCTGAATTTGTTGCAAACCAAATCGGGAAAAAGTTTGTAGTCGGACACACTCGAGAAAAGATTTCAAAGCAATATTAACAATGGCTGTCAAGATCGACATTCGATTGAACTAAAATATAAAGTGTTTGAAAGTTGCAACTACTTGAAAAAAAAGCAGCAACCTCACGAAAATTCTAGACAGTGCTAAGCTGGAAATTATTTCTTGATAATATACAGTAATGTTTCGCAAAAACAGCTAGTGTATAAGACTGAGATACCTCAGGAATCAACGTACGGGGATCGAATTCTTCGAAATCAGATATGATACTTTAATCGATTTCAGATTCGTACCATGAGTTTTCACGTTTCCTTTTAAAACTTAACTTCCTACTAACTTTTTCAAAATTCAATTTTTGCCTTCCTCACTTTCATCGTGTTTTCCTCATCTATATGCGTAGCTTTCCTAATTTTCATGAAATTCAAGGGAAGAAAATCACAATATTAAAATGCTTACTTCCACATTTGTACAAAAATCTATCCTTTCGGACCATAACTTATCCAGCGTTGAACTGATTGAACATGTATCGAATGTTCGCCTTGAATGTGAACGTGATGAACCGCCTTCTAACAATCGTTCTTTACGAGTACCTTCATCCATCTAGGAGAAAATTTTGAAATTTATTGAATTATCGGAACTGATTCAACAATTACTGTAATCGCATAATAGACCAATGAAGTTTGTATTTATTACAATTTATCCGAAATTTGTTTAGACTTCTGACAAAATTTCTGCAAATTAGCAGACATAACGATTAATTCCACGGAATTTGAAAGGAATCAAAACACAGCAAATAGAAAAAAATTTAAACCGGAAAACAAAAAGTACAAATCATGCTCTCCTAATTGATTATCATCCTAAAACCAAGGCAACAATCAAAACCGCTCCATCATCTCGCCTCACAGTTTATCGGTAACAACATCAATACCACATTCCGGATGAGCCATTTACCACAGTGCTCATTTCATAACATCCAACGTTATTTTCTCGACTCGTAAATCTCGACTCGATGAAAACTTCGAGAACCGGTCACGTCACATTTCAACATTATTCATGGTTTGACAATTTCTCACATCTCAGTGAGATGCTTATACAAGTATTTTATAAAATGCAAAAGATACAGAAGATTTACAAAAGGCTTAATAGCTGAATTGATGGAAGCTAAATCATCGATAAAACGCTTCACAGCTGATCGAACTGCTGTTGGTTCGGCACAACTTAACCAATCCCGACATTCAATACTACGTATTAGAACCTTAAAAAGAAAGAAATTTTGAAGAGCATAAAATCACAGCAATGTGGGTTCTAATCTTTCATGTAGGAAGAAAAAAGAAAAATACAAAGTGGCAATCGCCAGTAATCTGACCCATATAAATATCATGAAATGAGCACGTTAAAAATACTTTCTCCAATAATGTCACTTACGTCTAAAATCACAAACATGATATTTGGATTTGATGGACATAAGTAAGTACCATCAAAGAAAGTGCTTCTAGATCTACAGAATGGAATTCAACCACATGAAATCGAAAGCTTTTTTTTCGTTCTTGGAAATGCACAGAAAAACAATATCCAGAAAACGGAACCAAATAAAGTAAACTTTAAAAGGAAAACTCGCCAAATCAGAAGGCCTTTAAAAGAAGTATAGCTAAATCTATGCGTTTTCATATTTCTTCAACGACTCAAACTTGATGTAGCACACAATATTTTTAGATTCCCAACATACCTCAGAAGTATTAATCCCCTGAAGGTAGACACAGTATTTCAGAAGTTCATAAGCAGTTGTACGTAAACGAACTCTGACATTCTCAACCGAACTCAATCGCGACTTTTCGCCTTTTTCTCGCTCTGCTACCAATCTAGAAATCAGTTTCTTTTCATTTCTTTCTTTTTGTCACTAAATAAGAAAAACCTACCGGAAATCAAACTATAAGAAGCTTACTGAAAGGAAATGGGCTTAAAAGTTAAAATCAGAAGATTCTTCTCGGATGTTTAATATGTTCAAAAAAGGATAGAACGAGGAAAAGTGGTTACAGTAATTATAGGCGAAAACTATCACTGGATGAAAAATCATATATTTTAAGGTAAAAAGTTTGTTTATTTTGCATTGTAATCTAAGTACATCATTAAGAAAAAAGAAAACCGTGGAATCTGAATTAGTACGAAATACATGCAAAACTTCAAATGAATGTGTAAAACGTAGCGAATCAATTGAATAATGAATTACTTAAATTTCTTTGTCCAATGGTATTTTAATCACGAGAAAAAAAAGAAGGGAAAAGACGACTTGGAAAGGGAAATAAGTAAAAACTAAATGAAATGAAATTCATTGAACCTGAATTGTTCCTCGCATAAATTCATGATATAAACCACTGAATGATTATCAATATTGATGAAAAATTGTGCTAGAACGATGTAAACAACGGGCAATGATGGCGTCCTTTGATTCATAACATCACAGCATTTTAGACCTAATTGCGCTATTTCATCTAGAGATTTTACAACCAATAATTCGTGAACATCGATACCAAAACCAAGTGAAAACTGAGCTGAAAATAAAAGTAGGAATCATTGACAATTAATGAAACTTGATTAATAAAACTGCAGAATGAAACCTGATACTCACACTTGATCGATAACAAAGAAATTTTGAAGAAAAGCATAATCAGGATACGGAATCGATAAAATGGTCAAAGAGAACGATTAATCTCATTTCAGAAGTGGAAATTCAGTGAAATACAGGAACGAGAATATGCCAGAAGTGAAAGAAAGACACGGTGTGGCAAATGTTTTAATTAGCCTTTCAAACACATATTTCTTTGAATATAATTAAAACTGATAAAGTTTTCCAAAATTTCACGAGTTCTATATAGAACCAAACCCCTGTAGGATATCATTTGGGATTTACATTTAGCGGGATATGTTTTTATACTGAAGTAGCTTGAGCTTGATATTTTGATTTACAACCTGTTTTGAAGACCAGTTACAAAACTGATCATAAAAAATCCAACTACTCTTGAACATGATAAAAAATCACAATCAGAAACTAAATATGTAACTGGATATAACAAAAACTAAACTAATAATAGATTGTTAAGAGTTCGGTTAAACAGCAGTACTTATAATCAATCATTATTACTCAGCAGATACTCAAGATTACTACTAATTTTATTTAAATATTTAATAGAGAATTGAGGGTCACAAATATAGAGAACTGAGGATTGATGTAACTATTTGAATATTAAATACAGCGTATCGTTTGCTGGTAACATGACAGCATGACATGTCTATTATCAGTTTAATCAATTTTCTGATTAAATTGTTAGCAGTTGCAAGGAGTTGGAAAAATTTTTCTCAGAATTGAAGAAATGCATTGATTTGCAGTCAAAAACATAAAGGAAATGTTACCTTGATCAAGTGATGAAAATGTCATATCAGAAGCGGTGAAAAGAAGCAAAGATGCAAGGGCAGTTTTTATCTCAACAAGAAGGGAATGTTCCAGTCGTGAAATTATGTCGTTTAACATTGATGTATCCGAAAAAGATGTTCCCGGTACAGTTAGTTCTTTTTGAATCTAAAATGTTCTCCTCTCATGCCACAGATAATATTAATGCAGAAATGCTTTCTTTTTATTTGAAAAGCGCCATGAATCAAAACAGTATTTATGAAATAGTAAATTAGTAAGCAAACATTCGAAACAATGTTTCCATTCTTGAGAAAAAAGATGGAACTAAACCTGCCGCAAAGAAGAACCAACACGTTCCACGACTTGACCATGTGCAAGTTCTATTTCGTGCCTTGAGACGATATTTAACATGGAAATGCATAATGGTAAATAATCCACGCCTAGAAAAGGTTTATGAGACAAAGTACATGAATGCAAAAATCAGACATCTATTACAAAAGCTAGAATACTACCAACACATTATTTTTCATTGATATACGGATAAAGACCTGCTAGACTTAAGCAGTATCATAGATTCCGAAAAATTAGAAATGTGAGACAATTAACCACGTATAAGCTGGTTGCACGATGACATACGACGGTAAAAACGATCAAGCGCCCGTACAACAATAGCGCACTCTGCAGCATCTGTTTCTTCCAAAAAACGCATCCTGACAACTTCTTCAAACTGATTCATTAGCAAATCCATCAATTCAATTGCGTCACCCGCAATTGCCTGGAGAAGTAAGTAGTTTGATCGAATCCATTGAAGTATTAATTTTCTTCATCAAAATTGAAGAAAATTTTTAAAATGAAAAGTTTCCTCAAAATTTATAAAATCTTGCTACGTCAAATGCAGGTATATAGCAACTTTTCCGAAAAACATTTATGATTTAACCATTTTGTTGGATGGCATGATTAACGATGGCTTTTACGAAAAAGAATATTTCTGTTAGTTTTTATGCAGAAATCATATGTTGCAATTTTTTTTTTCTTTCGAGATGAAATGCACAAGATCTGTATAAATTGAGATCGAACAACAATAAATAGCACGAAGAAAACAAGGATTTAAAACAAATATTTCAACCTGGTTGGGGAAAAAACGCAGATTTATTGTTGTAACCAGTGACAGATCTGTTAGGAAGGAGCTGCAACAATTATCCACGAATTCCAGGACATCTGCTGTGCCCTAAAACGATTATCTAAATAGAAATCTCACAAAACTTTAAGATCCGAAAAAGAACGTGCTATATTTAACACCGGTGAACTAAGTTAAGATTAGATTTCACGTGAACCTGTCTCTGTGCTCGCATTACTGTAAGTTGATCACTTAAATTACGCTTGCAACTGGCTAGAAAATCGTTGTAAACAATCGACGGCTCTACACCTAACTTGAGGAGTAAAGTTATGGCTTCCGAAAGTTCATCAGATGAAATGAGACAGCCACAGATGATTTGTTTCAGCTGAAAAATAAATTATAAAAAGAGTGCGAGACAATGCGTAAGGTAAATTAAAATGATGTAAACGATAGGGTGAGTCACAAAATTTCATTAATGTTCTAAAATTGAAAGGACAATTTAAATTCCCGAAAAAATGACTGAAAACATCAGATTTTTCAGATACATCAGATATCACTTGATACTCTCTAATTTTCTTGCAAAACCAGTTTAACCTAACCTTATCTAACCCGCAAATTCAAAAACAAAATTTTTGCTAGTTCGACAAAATTTTTGCTTTTTGCTAATTTCGACACACAACTTAACTCCCTTAATATCAATTTGTATTACTGTCATGGATAAATATCAATATTTCTAAACTAAAAAATTTCCACAAAATGCAGAGTCGTAAATTATAAATAAAGTACGATCAACCTGGTCTTGAACTGTCGCCATTATAGCAATTGTTTCATCATATATATCAGAAATTGAAGCTATGTCTTTGCAAAGCAAAAGAGATGATCGTACCCTTAAATAAATTTTCACTGCTTCCTCATAATTCTTCTGTTCGACCAAGGCCTAGAAATAGAAGGAAGAGAGAAGTAGAAAAAAAGTAACTATAATCATGTTCCTCATGAGTTTGCTTTAAACATTCGACGACATAAAAAAATTGAGAGTAAACTTCCACAATTCACTCACTTGTAACTTTTGTGGCAAGCATAGCAAAAACTGTAAGCCTTTCACTTTCTTATTAGCATCAGAGAGCTGTGATACATTTGTCCGATGTTTGCTAAATGCTGTAGAAAGATTCTTCGATAGTGCCGCTATTTTGCTCATTCGTTTCGACAAACTCTCCATTTTCTAAAGAAAACTTACAAATGAACAAATGTAAACAATAAATTAAAGAAACGGATAAAGAGAAAGCTTTCTTCGTGCAAAAAAAAAGAAAAAAAGAAAAAAGAAATTCCGACTATACATACTACATATCCGTATAAAGCACAGTACAAACTAACTCTTTGATTTCACCGACTTCCCAAGTCTTATCCAAAACTACTGGTTTAAAAATATGATCTAATAATAATATCCTGCTATTAGTTTATACCTCCAACTCCTAATTCTTGCTTTTTCCATTTCTATTGTGTAATTAACAAAGATTTAAACTTTCACTGAATGAGAAATTAGAGAATTACAACTTTTCAATTGGAACGTAAAATCCATATTAAACAATTTATGAATTGAACCTGAATTTATGAGTAAGCTAATTGAAAAGTATTTAGACAACAAAAAAATAAACGCAATCCCAAGTTTAACTCACTTGGCCCATTTCCATAAAATCATTTTGCATTTTCTTCACCGTACTTGTTGCTGTAAGAAATTTGTTGTAATTTTCGTATACAAGTTGTTGCATTTCGGAATCAAGCCGTCTAACCTAAGAATTATTCGTAAATACAAAATTTGGAAAAAATGAATGAAAATTTTGTTTAAGTTGTCTTTCCTTTCTAATCAAAATTGGAAACAACTAGCACTATGCAACATATCTTACCAGAAAATTGAAAATTAAAAAAAAAAGAACCAGAAAGCCACACAATTAGTTTGTTGAAACAGTACAACATTCTTCAAAAAAAAAAGAGATGGAATAAAACTTTTTAAAGGAATAAAACATTCGGAAAAATAGAGCAAACTTTCTAAAGAATCCAAAAATTGAATTTTTTTTAAAAAATAAAACATAGATCCTAAAAATCTCGAGCATTTTTTATCATAAATTAGAATCTCAAGTAACTAACATTATGGACCATATCTTCTTCTACTTGAACCAATTCATCCAAATTCTTCTTCCGGAATAAATCACTCAAGTATGCTTCACTACTGAAATTTATCGAACTAATATCCAACGGGTCATTCCTGTCTCCGTTTCCTTTCTTTTCATTATCCATTATTTCTTCCTTATAATCCTGAAACTGTTCAAGTAATTGGGGCTAAAAGAACGCATCTAATAAGTGACGAATAACTGGTTACTATCCTATAAGTTGCTAATAAGTACGTCGGAACCACAAGTTGAGCAAGTAACAATCAATGAGTAACAATAAGATATCCACTGAAGTGGACAGAAAAATAATCTGCAAACAATAAGTGGGTCTAATCTGCAAATTAAACGGTACGGTAACTAGGAAAGTAAACTTGTAGTACAATACCCTTATGACCAATAAAATAATAATATCACAATTACTAAATCGACCTACAAATAATCAGAAAAACGGAAAATAACCAGGAAAAATCAATACGCTGATCGAGAAGCTAGAAAAACATAGAATTTTAGAAGAAAATGGGAAAACCGATGTCATGTACTACGCATAAAAACACGTAAAACCATCTAAAACCGTATGTTACAACAGTGCTAGCAACAGTAACCAATTAAGAGTGCCGTTGATCCCGAAAGTTTTCACTACAGATTCATCAAATTAACGGACCTCGAAATCTCTGAACATACTGCTTCTTCCAGTTATTGCATTGTCGGGAGATCGGTCGGACAGTTTTCTTGTTTTTTCTTTTTTTTTTTCTTTTTTGGTACCATTCGTATATGTGAAAACATAAAATATCATTTTTAAATTTAATTTTCTGATGTTGAAATTGAATTTTTTTTCATTTCTGCTTATATTTACTCAATTCAAGATTCATCCCAATTTTCTCTGCACTTTTGACCCATGAAATCACATCTCAGCCTTTATCAGCACTGACTGTATCAATTTATTTCGCTATCATCGATTTATCATTGCTTAAGTATTGCTAGATTTGTCGTTCCATTATCATCAGCTTATCGCTGTTAAGGTCATTATCATTTTCCTGCCATCATAAGAAATGAGTGTAGCAGGAGTGTCATCCATCAGTATGTAGCATGTCAATCCAGGCTATGAATATATATATATATATATTTCCTGCGGCTCTTTTCGGCTTTAATTCCGTCGATTCATGTGCCTACTGATTTCGTGCGAGCATAACAATGAATTTTAAGGGTTTTTTTTTTTTTACCTATATCGGTCTAAAAACCATTATTATCTTTGATATTGACGAATGTTGTGAAATTCAGTTCTTTTTTTTTCTCTCAACTTCGTTCTTTTTAATATCCTGTGATTTCCTTCTCTTCAGAGTTTGAATTATGTGATATACAAATGAGATAGCAATTAAAATAGGTCCACTCAGCGGGATGATTTGAGATTTCGAAAACTTGCATCACACCGTATCTGGTTTGCTCCACCATACTATTATCAGAAAAACCGTTTCCTTTTGTAAGCAAACGAATTAGTTTTAGTTATGAAAGCCGTAGTAAATGATCATCCTGAAAGTATTGATCATGATAAGCTGTATTGTCAAGTTTATGATTTAGGAAAAAGTTAAGGATGTCAAAACCTTTTCTTTCTAGTAGTGAAT